TAATAAAGTATACAGTTCAGTGGTTTTTGAGTACGCTCACAGGGTTGTGCAGCTATCACCACGATTTCATTCCAGACCATGCCCATCACCCCAAAAGGGAATGCCATACCTTTTAAGCAGTCACTACCCATTTCTCTCTCCTTCCAGCTCCTGGCTACTAATAACTTAGTTTCTTTTTCTTTTTTTGGAGACAGTCTCACTCCATCACCCAGGCTGGAGTGTAGTGCAGTGGTGTGATCTCGGCTCACTGCAACCTCCGCCTCCCAGGTTCAAGCGATTCTCCTGCCTCAGCCTCCTAAGTAGCTGGGATTATAGGCACACACCACCATGCCTGGCTAAATTTTGTATTTTTAGTAGAGAAGGGGTTTTGCCATGTTGGCCAGACTGATCTCAAACTCCTGACCTCAAGTGATCTGCCTGCCTTGGCCTCCCAAAGTGCTGGGATTACAGATGTGGGCCACTGTGCCTGGCCACTAATTTAGTTTCTGTCTCCATTTTATTTCTATCTGTATGGATTTGTCCATTTTGGACATTTAATGTAAATGGAATTATATAATATGATGCCTTTTTTATTGGGGTTCTTTTATATAGCATAATATTTTCAAGGTTCATCAATATCATAGCATATGTTAGTACTTCATTTATTTTTATGGCCAAGTAGTATTGCATTGTATGGATATACCACATTTTGTTTATCCATTTATCAGTTGATATGATTTAGATTGTTTCTACCTTGGCTGTTATTAATAATGCTGCTATGAACATTAGTGTAAAAGTTTTTATTTGAGCATGTGTTTTCACTTTTCTTGGGACTATACCTAGGGATAAAATATCTGGGTCATATGGTAACTCTATTTTTAATTTTTTGGGGATCTGCCAAACTATTTTCCAAAGTGGCTACACTATTTTACATTTTCACCAGCAATGCATTAGAGTTTCACATTTTCTGTGTCCTCAGCAACACTTGTTACTATCTTTCTGATTATAACCAACCTAGTGGGTGTGAAGTAATAGATCATTATGGTTTTAATTTGCATTTTTCTTTTCTTTTTTTTGATACAGGGTCTTGCTTTGTTACTCGGGCTGGAGTGCAGTGGCAACAATCATGGCTCACTGCAGCCTCAAACACCTGGGCTCCAGCAATCCTCCTGCCTCGGCCTCCGAGTAACTGGGACTATAGGTGTGTGCCACCATGCCTGGCTAATTAAAACAGTTTTTTTTTTTTTTTTTTTTTTTTTTGTAAATTTGTTTCACTATGTTGCCTAGGCTGGTCTCGAACTCCTGAGCTCAAGAGATCCTCCTCACTTGGCCTCCCAAAGTGCTGGGATTACAGACATGAGCCACTGTACGCAGCCTGCAGTTTTCTAATGATTAATAAAGTTGAATAATTTTTATGTGCTTATTGGCAATTTATACATCTTTTTTGGAGAAATGTCTATTTCTTAACATACTTTGTCCACTTTGTAACTGGGATATTTGTATTTTAATGTTGAGGCTTTAAAGTTCCTTAAATATTATGACCACTGTAGCCCTGATTTGCAAAACATTTTTTTCCCATTTCATGGCTTTTTAACTTTCTTGATAGTGTACTTTGAAGCACACACATTTTTAAGTTTGCTGAAGTCCATTTTGTCTGTTTTTCTTTCCCAGGTGTGTTTCCTGATATGTCCTTACAGTATTGCTTTTTTTTTTTTTTTTAGATTGAGTTTTGCTCTGTCACCCAGGCTAGAGGGCAATGGCGTGATCTTGGCTCACTGCAACCTCCACCTCCTGGGTTCAAGCAATTCTCGTGACTTGGCCTCCCAAGTAGCTGGGATTACAGGCATGCACCACCACGCCTGGCTAATTTTCATATTTATAGTAGAGACGGGGTTTCACCATGTTGGTGAGGCTGGTCTTGAACTCCTGACCTCAAGTGATCCACCCACCTTGGCCTCCCAAAATGCTGAGATTACAGGCGTGAACTGCTGTGCCTGGCTGGGATTCGTTGTTTTAACCCTGCCCCAACCAGACTCTCTTCTGCTAAATGCCACTTCCAAGTCTTCCAGGCAGCCTGGGCATCTGAAACACTGGGATTCCTCATTACCCAAGGTTCTTCTGTATTCATGGCAATCACTACATCTTCCACATAAGACACATAAGACACTTTGGATTGACTTCAAGACTCACCTTGACATTGGCTTGAAGCTTTCTCCAACTCCGGCTCCTGTGACAAAGACTCTATTGATTGTCCCTCCACCTCTGTCTGTTCCTCTCTGACTCCTCACTGGACACTTCATCTTGCCATACTCTCACTTTTCTCTCTCTTCTCTCTACTTTCTAGTGTTCACCTGTTTTGACGTCTTCAGTGACCTCCTCTCTTTGGCTCCTTAGTGATGGAAGGCAAAACAGTGAGGCAGACCTGGGTTTCCAGCCTGGCTTGGAAATATATATACAAGCCAGGAACCTTGGAAAAATTTATTTATTGCTCTGTTCCTTTGTTTCCTCATCTATCTGATAAGGATAAGAATAGTGTCTTCCAAAGGAGCTCTTGTGAGGCTAAAGGAGATATCATAGATACCCTGTGCCCATGATAGAGTGAGTGCTCAAAAATATTCACCAGTGGGGCCCCATTATCATTTCAAACTCACCCTATTCAAGCCAAGCTCATAATTTCACTCCAAACTACAGCCTTCTGTTTTTTGCCCCCTTCATCCTCCTAGTACCCTCACTTTGGGGTCACCTCCAACCAGGCCTTGTTCACTAATGACAATATCATCCCACGTGTGTTCCACATCGCCAGAGCTTGTCCATGCCCAAACTCTTGCTTTCTTTCAACCTGGAGCACCAGTCACCTGATCCTGCTAACTTCTTTCAAAATACCCCCTTCTCCCTCTTTTCTTTCCACCCTCAGGACCCCTGTCCCAGCTGTGTGCTCACTGGACTCTGAGTGGCGGAACAGCCCTTGACACCACTATGGCCTGCCTGTCTCTGATTCCTGGCCTTTAGATTTGTCTCTCACAAGAGCTAGGAGTCCAGGCACCTTCCTGTGGTTCCTACAGCTTTGGTTCTTTTTCCTGGCAAGTTGGGGCCACACACTAACCTGGCAAAATGTGGGAGAGGGAGCAAACTGTAGAATTTGGAGATGGGAGCTCTTGATTGTAGACTAGACTTGCCACTGGCTTGCCAGGGGACGCAGGCAAGTCCTTTATGGTTTTTGGACCTTGATTTCCCCATCCATGCAGTGAAGATGAAGAGTTTCACAGTCTTGAAGGCTCCGGCAACTCTGATGTGTGGCGATTTATCACCTGTGATCTCTTCTAATTACAAGACTCATTCATGGGGCTTCTGAGATGTTCGTTTTTCCCTCTCTCCCTACCTTGACAGATTTGTCTTCTAAGGTGAGTATCTCCTTTGCCAAGTCCTACTCAGATCTCATTTCCTGTCTCTGACTCACTCCGTTTGGTTTCTTCCCATGCCTTATAGCGTAGGGTGTGTGCATTGATGTACAAATGTATTCTGATTGTTGGCGTAGCTTCTGCCTCTGTGTTCTTTTGGTCTTGCAGAAAGTCTCTACCTCCTGTCTCTCCTATTCTATCTCAGCCCCCACACTGAGACCCCATGGGATCTTTCTCAAGCTTAAATCTGAGCTTGTCACTCTCCTACTGAAAAACCTTCAGTGGCTCTCCAAAGCCTCAGGATCAAGGTTATCTCCTTAGCCTCCTTTTCAAGCATCCCACACCCCTCTACAGTCTGGTCTGGTCTCAACCTAACTGCTCTACTCATCTGCTCCCAAAGAGATGGGCCCCCAATTCCTTTGCTGATTCTGTCCCTGTGCATGGAACATGCCCTCCCCTCGCTTCTGTGTCCAGTGACATTCTATTCACCCACTGGGCCTCAGATCAACTGTTATTTTCCTGGGAAGCTTTCCTTGATCTCCCCATTCAAAGAAAAATGCCGTTACTTGTGCATTCCCACAGAATGTTATTCACTTTACAGAGAAGCATCGTTTTCTTTCTTCTTTATCTCATGGTAAAGGCAGGGGCAGTGTCTGCAGAGGCAGCCAGGTGGTCAGCACATTGGTACTGCTCAGTATACATTTGGTGACTAAGGGAATGGCTTCTTTATGGACTTCTGGCTTTTGTCTCCCTCCCCAGTTGGGCTACTTGAGAGGCCTCCTCTGATCTACCCACCATAGATAGATCTTCTTGAAGGGCAGCTGGGTTCATCTGCTGCCAAGCCCAATGTATGTTCCACATTTAAACAAAGGAGCAGGAAGAAGCCAGGATTAGTGCAAATCCTAGTCACTGAGCACACAGACACCTGCTGGCACAGGGAGCTTTGGTGAAATTCCCAGCAAGTGCCTGCAAAAGCCAGTGGTCGATGGTGCCCATAGGTGGGATTCCCACTGGCTGTGCTGTGGAGCCTGAGCATTTGAATTCTTCCAGTTCTAGAGAGCTGGAGCTGGTGCTTGAGATCGATGTGTTCCAGCCCACTCATTTTATAGATGCAAAAGCTGAAGCCCCAAGAAGGCTTCCCAAGACCACCCAGCAAATCAGGGCAGGGCTGAGAAAGAAACCCAGGGCTCCTACTCCTGGGCCTGGGTTCGTCCATCTTCACCAGGCTGTGGGGTTTTATGAGTACAGTTGTACTTCTTGGATGGTTTCTTTCATGAATAGGGATTTTCCTAGAGCTGGATTAATATGACCTTGAAATTGGCACTTGTCTTTGAAATTCCAAGAGCAAAATCACTGATGGAGGAAGCAAGGGAGGGGAGAGAGAGCGATGGGAGAAAGAAAAAAAGGAGAGAGAGAAACACAGAGAGAATAAGATAGGGACAAAGAAAGAAACACAGGGCCAGAAAGAGATGGAGATGAAAAACCATCAAAGCCCAACAAAGAGATCAAAAGAGAGTCAGAAAGAGACCACCAGACAGTGGGTGAGAGAGATGGGAAGCAGAGACAGAGGGAGACTACAATAACAGAGCCCGCTCTACAACTGCCTGTCTCCTTCCTCCGCAGGGCCCCTGGGAAATACTTCAAAGGCAAGTGCAGCTGCTGCCTGCTGTGGATTCTGTGAGGCCTCTAGGATGACATGGCTCGAAGCTTCTTCACTGGAGCCCAGGGTTTCAGCTTTCCAGGTAGTGCGTGGGTTATAGCAGCTATGTGAGTATAAAGTGGGACTTTGAGAAAAGTGCTGGAGTCCATTGGTTTTCCTGAGGCAGCACCAAATGCTAAGAAGGGCAGGAACATCTAGCCCTGGCCTGGGGTCTGCTGCCTGGCTGGCAGTCTTGAGAAGGTTTTTACTCCAGAGCTTCAGTTAGCTGGTCCCTAAAGTTCTCCTAGCTTTAAAGTTCCTGACTGATTGAGCCGATGGGACTTAAAGATAAAAGGGTCCATCCCTTCTTGGATGCTCACCCCTAACTACTACTTTGGGATCATGTCAGCCATCAAGGATGTAGTCAGAGAGGAATTGTCCACCCAAGGAGACTAACTTCACCTATTGATTTCTCCAGCTAAGAAATATTCCTGGTAGAAATGTGAAATCATGGACTATCAGAGCTGGAGGGGCACCAGGCATGTCTTTCTTGAGTTCCTCATTGCCCAGAGAGATAGACTCAGAGAGCTGTCATCAGGATGGGAGCTAGAAGGTGAACTTGCCTCTGCTGGCCCAGTCACAGACCCCAGGGCACCAGGCTGCATGCTGAGTGGCAGGGAGTGGAGTGGACAAGTTTCTTAGTCAGCGAGAACAGCCAAGTCCCCAGAAACATCCCCAGAATTTGGGGTGGGATAGTACTGCTTCTCCCTTCTATTTCCCTACTTAGGCTGTTTCAGAGAGCCACTTGGACTGTCCCATCTGATTGCCCAGGAGCTAGCTCAGAGACAGCTGGCTGCTCACTACCCCTTCAATCACGAGGAACTCAAGACTTTCAGCTCCTCTCTCTCAAAGGCTGGCCAGCCCTGTGGGCACAATCTTAGAGAAGGCTGCTCCATGACTGTGCTTTTGGGAGTGCCGGGCAGTGGCTGCAGAAGGCAGCAGATGGGGATATGTCAAAAAGAAGGAAAGGGTGTTCAAAAGATGAAGTTCAGACATACAAATCCATCTACATTACCCACCATGAGTCACCAAGTGGTAGAGTGGACTTTTTTTTCATAGATATTCTGAGGTTGTCTTTTTCTTTGTTTTTTTTTTTTGTTTTGTTTTGTTTTTTGTTTGTTTGTTTGTTTGTTTTTGAGATGGAGTCTCGCTCTGTCACCCAGGCTGGAGTGCAGTGGTGGCGCAATCTTGGCTCACTGCAACCTCTGCCTCCCAGGTTCAAATGATTCTCCTGCCTCAATCTCCCAAGTAACTGGGACTACAGGTGCCCGCCACCACACCCAGCTAATTTTTTTTATTTTTAGTAGAGTTGGGGTTTCACCGTGTTAGCCAGGCTGGTCTCCATCTCTTTACCTTGTGATCTGCCTGCCTCGGCCTTCCAAAGTGCTAGTGTTATAGATGTGAGCCACTGCGCCCAGCCCTTGTTTCTTTACTTATTCATTCAGACATATATTCATTCACTCATGTAACCAACCAACCAGTCATTCATGCTGTGCATGTTGTAGTGATGGTGGAGGTGGAGGGGTGCATTGGTGGTGGCAATGGTCGTGGTAGGTAGGCTATGTTGGTGCTGCCGGTAGGGGTGCATTTGTTGGTGGTGGGTGGTACTGATGGGTGTTGGTGATGTTGTATGTAGTGGTGGTGTGGGTGATGGTGCTGATGGTGGGCAGTGGTGGTAGTAGGTGAGTGTTTTTATTGTTGGGTGATATTGATGGTAGTGATCGTGGTATTGTTGATGGGTATATCAGTGGCAGAGCTGATGCAGATAGTGGTGGTGGTGGTAAGTGTTACCTGCGGGGATGGTGATTGGAACAAGAATAGTGGTGACAGGTGTTTTGGGAGTAAACGTGTTGCTGTTGATGGGAGGATGGTGATAGTGATCATGGTATCATTGCTTATGATGATGGCAGTTTTTACTAGTAGTGGTGGTGTCAATGGGTAGTTGTGGTTATGGTGGTATTGATGATGGTATTGTTGATGGAAGTTGTATTAGCTTTCTATTGCTGCTATAACAAGTTATCACAAATTTAGTGGCTTAAAATGACACATATTTATTATCTTACAGTTTTGTAGAGCACAAGTCCAACATAGGGTTCACTCGGCTAAAATCAAGGTGTCAGCAGGCTTAATTCCGCTCTGGGAGCTCTAAGGAAGAGTTGACTTCCTTTCATCTTCCAGCTTTAGAGGCCACACCCATTCTTTGGCTCATGGCCTCCTTCCAGCGATGTTGCAAAGCCAGTGATGTCATATCTGTCTGACCCTTCCCCCATTGTCCATCTCTTTCTTTGACCACAGACAGGGAAGGTTTTCTGCTTTCATAGACTTGTGGTTAAATTGTACCCACTCAGGAAACCCGGGATAATCTCCCCATCTCAAGGTCTGTCCCATTAATCACATCTATAAAGTCCCTTTTGCCATGTAAGGTAACAGATTTACAAATTCTGGGGATTAGAGTGTGGATATCTTTAAGGGATTAATTTTTTGGCCCATCATAGGGGGAATGATGGTAGTGACGATGGTGGTGAGCATGGTGGTTGTGGCATTGGTGATGATGAGTGTAGTGATGGTGGAGGGGTAATGGTTGTGGTAATGGAGCAGGGTGGGTGGTAATGATGTTGGTGGGTGGTAATAGTTATAGTGTTTTTAAAAGGGCTATGGGAGTGTGGGCAATGGAGACAGATCCCCCACTTTGGTCCTCAGCACACTCTCTGGTCAGGAAGGAGCTATAACCTGGACAGAGCACCTATATCTGCAGATGCATGGTGCTCAGGGACATGAGAGAGGAAAAATGAAAAGCTTTGGGGGCTTGGAAGAGGTAGGTGTCCTTGCTGGCGGGGGCTTAGGAAGCTTTCTGGACCTTGAAATATAGCTAGCCATTAAAAAACTCCATAACATTAATAACTTTGGCTGGATATGGTGGCTCACACCTGTAACCCCAGCACCTTGGGAGGCTGAGGTGGGTAGATCACCTGAGGTCAGGAGTTCAAGACCACTCTGGCCAACATGGCGAAACTCTGTCTCTACTGAAAATACAAAAATTAGCCCAGCATGATGGTGGGTACCTGTAATCCCAACTACTTGGGAGGCTGAGGCAGGAGAATCACTTGAACTTGGGAGGCAGAGGTTGCAGTGAGCCGAGATCACGCCATTGCACTCCAGCCTGGGTAACAGAGCAAGACTCTGTCTCAAAAAAAAAAGTTAATATCCTTCTTGCTTTGTATTTGTAATAGCTGCTAATTAAATGCAGTCAAGCAACACAGAAAAGCACAAAAAATTTTTTTAAAGTAACCAAAATCTTACTTCCCATAATAAGGTTGGGGAGGGAGGTCATTTCCATACTCAGAGGTGGAGGCTGAGAGGTTCCTGGCTCAGAAGGACATTCTCTTCCAGAGGGAGGAAGCAGAGTGAGCAGTGCCCCAGGGGAGGGATGGTTCCATGTCCTGGGAGACAGGGGAGTGGCATGTGTTGAGTGCAAGTGGGCACAGAGCTTGCAGTGGGGTAGAGCAGAACAGGCTCTCCCTTGCCTGCCCTTTGTCCTGTGATCTGCCTGGGTGAGCAGATAAGCTTCAAGGATCATTGCATTCTGTGCATCACTCCAGGGGTTGCGGGGGGTACATTGAAATGTGTCATGCAGGCCACTGCAGAATTGCAATGAACAAGAAGGATCTAGAAAGGGGCAATATCATGTTCCTTTTCTCTTCTCTCTCTAGCACCATCTCTCCCTTCCTCTGCCTTTGAGCAGAGCCTCCCAGAATCCTGGGCATTTCTGCCTAGTTGTGGATCTGTGTGAGGCTAAAGAAGCATCCCTGACAATGACCTTGGGGGAAGAGACTTTTTTGGGTCCTACTGTTGCTAAGGGGATACCTGGAAGGTATCCATGCAAAGGGGCCAAGAAAGGTCAGAGTTTTAACCAGTCCCTTAAGAAGATCAAGCCTATGTCTTTTCAGTCTTTCCCTCCTTGTTTATTCTTTAAGTTGTGACATCCTTTTAAGCAATATCCTCAGTGAAGGTCCAATATGGACAGCAACAAATAGGAGACTGCTTTGAGTGAAGTCAAGGAAGAAGTCTCTGCCTAGCTGAGCACCTAACACCAGCTGGTCAACTCACCCCAGGCCTTGGATCAGGGTGGGAAATGGGGGGAACATGCTTGTCTTTCAGGGCTGTTAGGGATGATATAATATATGTAAAACTTGGGACTCTGTGATGCGGGGAGACATTGAAGGCTTCCTAGTGGCTTAGGCTCACTCCAGGCTCTGTTTGGGAGGAGGGGATGGGGGTTAGGAGCCTTGAACATGGCCCTGGAGGGTTCCCAGACAGGCAGATTATCATTCCAACAGTTGGCCTCCAGGCACCTCCTGCCCCAATTCAACACACACTTCCACTCTACCTATATCCCACTGCCAACTTAGGTGGCCTCAGTGTCCCCTGGACTTATCACTCCACTTTAGCCCCACCTTCCAGGATCACTTTTGATAACAATTGCAGCAGTTAATGTTAGTGGAGCACTTGTCTCGTGCCAGGCCCTGTTCTAAGTTCTCCATACTCGTCATCTTGTTTGATGTTCCCAGTAGCTGGAGCCTTGCTCTGTCACCCAGGCTGGAGTGAAGTGGCCAAATCTCAGCTTACTGCAACCTCCACCTTCCAGGTTCAAGCGATTCTCATTTCTCAGCCTTTCCTGTAGCTGGAATTATAGGCATGCATCACATGCCCAGTTAATTTTTTGTATTTTAGTGGAGATGGGGTTTTGCCATGTTACCAACCTGGTCTTGAGCTTCTAAGCTCAGGTGATCTGCCCTTGTCAGCCTCCCAAAATGCTAGGATTCCAGGTGTGAGCCACCATACCCAACCAGAGCACTATTCTACTCATCCTACACATGAGGTAGGACCCACTATTTGCCTAAACTCATGCAGGTCAGGAGTAGCAGAGCTGGGATTTGGCGCAAGTACCATTGTGCCTGAACCAAAACCACCTGGGGCCTCCCCACCTCAGCTGCCACAGCTCACTCCTCGGCCACAGGGTCCCTCTGCACCTTATAGAGATCT